TCGCATTGGTGGGTGAGCGAGCTGGATCGTAGTCCAGTGGTATGGCATTCGAAGGGCATTGGCCACATCAAAGTTGCTGTGTTCCGCGCGGCCGGGGAGAAGTGTGAAGCCTCGCATACCGTTCTCGTGCACCAAGCAAACTTGTTGGGAGCGATTCCAGGCACCATCCGTGGGAATAGGATCATCCTCAGCCCACTGCGCCAGATTGACTAGCATAGAAGTGAGGTCTGGTGCATAAGGAGCTGGCGCTTCTGGCTCACAGAAGCAGATGACCCCATACGGAAGAAGGAGCAAATCTGTCTCGGCCTCGAGCGGTTGACCTGTGCCAAAGGGGTATATAAAGTACCGGAGACCTGGGTCGAGATCAGCTTTCCTAATCAAATCGGCATAAGTGGTATGACGTGGCAGGTCCGCGACAAAGATTCTACCATCAATGGCTCGTAAGTCAAAGACGCACAGCGGCTCATCATGTGCCCAAGCCGGCAGCGCAAGCACCGTGCCCCAATGAGGAGAGAGTTGTTGATGAGTAGGAGTCAATTGAGAGAAGAGGCGGTAAAAATCGCTATCGAGAGCTTGAGCGATCTCATCAAGAGCGGCCTGTGTGGTGGCTGGTCTTGGAAGCCGGACACTGACGCTGTGGGCAGCGTGGTGCCAAGCGAGCACCAGAAAGCGTGCGACATATGTTGGCACCTGATCAGGCGTCACGGACGTGGTGCCCGAATGAACACTGTCATGATCCGAGTCATTGGGTGGAGCAGGAACTCCCGACTGGGTCTGGGGCAGAACCATCGGACTGGTGCTCCGGAGAATAACCGCAGCAATGGCAGAGGACCAAGAAGGCCGTGTGCCAGATGACGCGAGAGGCGGCCCGCGACCAGCGCCCTCGCGCCATGTGACCTCAACAAGGCAGCATGCAAGCGCAGGCGGGGTGGCTGATGCTATGACTTGGAAGTCCAAGTGGTGACTGTACTCTGCCGGAACACCAACGCAGTCAGCAAAGAGAGCTGGGTCATGCTCACTCGTAGTGGTGTGAAGGACCTGAAAACCGGAGCCTATGGGCCTAGCATCGAAAACGATGGTAAAGGGGATTGTGCCGAAGGTCTCCCGGAGGCTAGCCTCTGACGCAGCAGTCACAAAACAGTGGCAGGGCTCGCCTGAGACTTCCAGGTCGGATAGGCCGGCAAGAGTCCGGAGATGAAGGTCATCATCTGTAGCCCCTAAAATCTGTCCAATCCTGGTGTGAGCGTTGCTGTCCGTAAGGTGCCTTCCTGCAAAGGGGTGCACCTTGCCTCGCATGTGGACAGCGAAGCCCGGCAAGAGGTTCTCGGAAAAAACATGATGCAGGGGGGTCCACTGTGTGTCGTCTTCAAAGAGCTGGGTAACTGTGATAGGGGCACAAGGACTGGCATCGGCGGGCAACACAAGTACAACATCCCCGTGATCGAACTGGAAGGACGTTGAGGGCTGGACCCTGCGTTGATGGGGCCCAATCCAGAAGGCCCACTCAGAAGGCTCACCCCCTAAGATATCCTCGACCCTCTTACAAAGGATGTCCCAAGAACAGACACTGGGGAGCACATCGGCAAAGTAGTGTCCGTGAACATGCGTAAGGTCAAGGATGACCGCTCGCTGCAACAGCTGGTTAAGGCAGGGGGGGAACGCAACGAAGGTCGCTGTACCTTCATACCTTTGCGGCTTGACAGGAGCAACACCGTCAAGATGGCGGTGTATAGTGGCATAATGCTTCGAGACTTGTTTGATAGTGGCGAGTAGGGAAGGGCACACTCCGATTTTAAGACCGAAGGAAACCTTCCTAAACCCTGGCGCATGTACTTCAACTCCAAGCCAAGTGCGCGGCTGAACCCCGGAGACGTGTCCCTGAGGTAATGGCAGGGAGACAGTATCAACCCCTGGGGGCGGATAATAGGTCTGTGATTGCTCGTTGCCGTGTGGCTGGGGCGGGGGAGCATTGGCGCCTTGAGGCAAGGGTTCAGGCAGCCCGGAGATTATGCGTTCCGCAGCGGCCAATGCGGTAATGAGGCTCGGAGGTGCTGCAAAGACCTGGCACGGCAAGCTAGCAAAAGCGACCCAGCGTAGCAGCCAGGACCAACCTGAGCAGCCCCTCAGTACGCTGCGTTGTCGACCTGAGGACTTCTTTCTTTTGGCCTGCCATACCATGATGGGAGTCGACTGACCAAGACGACCTACTGGCAACAGGATTCGGTCGGGGGGGCCTAAACCTCCTAAGAGGAAGAACCTTCCGCAGGGGGACCTGTGGAAACCCAATTGTCGTAGAAGCAGACGACTCAAAATAATCTGCGTCAAACAGAGGACGCTCAAAAGGATGGAGGCAGCCTGAGCAGATACCCAGTCCCACCTGGACATTCCGTCAACCCAAGACAAGGGGTGGAAGCTGAGAACTGCAAGTGAGGTGCCTACTGCGTCGGCCTGTGTCCCTGAGCCACCGATACACATGTTGGGCGCACGACGCAGATAGCGCACTTTAGGAACACATTGGAACCTACGAAAAGAACGGCTATAGCCGAATTCGAGATTATCATCGGAACCAGTGATGTAGCAGAACGGGGTCCAGGCCCCTGAGTCACCGATGCCTGTGTTAGACACGCCCGTACTGCCAACATACACACTCTGCAGAGGACGGGGATCAAATCCCCGTACTTTGGAGTGGCGGGGGTCAACGCCGATCTCGAAAGTCAAAGAGAGAACAAGGCGGACCGAGGAGAGAGGGCGGCACCTCGATTGAAGAAGGACGAAGAAGTCCAGGATAGAAAAGGGCAGCCGTGACCAAAACAGGCCGGGGCCACATAATCTGAGGTTGGAACCAGGCCAGGGAAGCCCAAACTCTGAAAAGTGAGGCTGTAGCTCAGGGAAGCAGCACGGCCATTTCAGCCGAGGATCAGCATCCAGAAGGGCGCTGGTGGGAGAATGGGAGCCGATGGGGGAAAGCAGGAAAAGAGACACCGAAGAGCCGGCCTCGAGAGAAAATAAACCTCTCAGCAGCGAAAGTCCAAGGTCGCGGTATGCACAGCCTACCTGTACACAACAGTCAGAACTAAGGACCTGGTGTAACCTGTAGTCGCCACCACAACCCGGTCCTTGCCCAGGGGACGCTGACCAAGAGAAGGAAAACACTGCCCCTGCAGTGTTCCAACTCAGTGGCGCTGGGTCCCATAAGCGGAAATCGAGCTGTGTGCCAACTGCAGACGCCACTCGGTCTCTGTACATGATCATTCTGCTCAGGACTCGTCTAGGGTCTCCAGCTCGGACTCTTTGTCTGCAAGTTGCCCTGTATCGTCGTCGTCCTGCAGGATCTTGGAGGCGATCTTGGCGGAATCTGTTGGCTCCGCGGGCTCGGTCCTCGCTTGTCGAAAGGGCATCAACGCTGATCTCTTTTCTTCCACTCGCTCCGCAAACGTAGTTCTGGCCACGGGTGGGGAAGCACGTTGCATTGTGGCCGCCTTGATAGACTCCCTGGGGGCACCCATAACCACCGGGGATCGTCGGGCGCTGCGGTCTCTCTGGCCTGGGTGAGCTGTAGCTGTCTTGTCGCTCGCCGGTCTCGCGCCTGTCGCTGGCGTCGGAGGTGACGGCGAAGGGTAGTCGTCGTAGCAAGCCCTGGCATCCACATCCATGGGTGCCGGGGGCTCCTCTCTCACAGCTCTGGCGGGCGTCATCGGGGCTGCTGTCCGCGCCCTTTTCGGTGTGTTCTTGGCTCGGTCCTGAAAGGCACGGCGGAGTACCCCATCCATATCGGCTTCTGCTTCCTCTGTCCAGGCATCGAAAACCGCACCCCACTCCTGTGTGCGGCGATCCTCGGTGGGCTTGTCTTGTTGGCTCTCCAACACCAAAGCCACAATCAGATCCCGTGCCTGCTGTTGGGAGACCTCCGCTTCTGAGATCTCGAGGTCGTACTTGTCCATGTCCTTCTCGAACCTTTTCCTTTCTGCAATGAAGCGCTGCTTCATCTGCTCGTGGTATAGAGCCCATTTCTCCGCAGCCTTGTCCCGCGCAAGGATCAGCTTGGAAAGCTTCGTCTCCTTCTTCCTGGCGTCGTTCAACGCATGTTGCATGGTAGGCAACATCCGCTCCCCATGCTCTGCACCACCGTGTGCAGCCTGGCTGGTCGAGCCGGGAGTCTGACTGGGCAACTGAACTCCATCGTAGGCAGGAAACGCCGGCGAAGGTTTGCCTGGCTTCCTCGGGTCCCCGTCTTGTCTCCACGGCGCACGGCCTTGTGGGGACCAGGCACCACGCCAGTACTGCCAACCAGTAGCCGAGGCGGGCGCTTCTGCTGCTTGCTTCCATGACTTATTTCCACGACCCATCCGGTATCGAACGAGCTGTCGTAGGCTGGGTGCCGACGCGTGATGTCGGTATAACTGTTCCAGGCGGAAAACAGACAGTGGTAAGCCTTCGCGAAGAGCTTTCCTAGCTCTTGAGCGTTGAGCTCGATGGCGTCGGTGCCAAGATGGCGAAGGCAACGCGCCGAATGAGCGCACCTCTTTGAGGTGCTTGGGGCTGACCAGCTATTCCCTCGCTGCTGAGGGATATTCTGAGCCCTCGGCAAACCCTACACTGATTATTCAAGAACCTGTGCTAAAGTGCTGCTAAAGGTTATCGAAACTGGTGCGAACCCAAGCTACGAAGATGAGCTTCTCACGCAAAAACGTCCGGAAGAGGTGTCTCCAAACCAGAAGCCCTGAACGAATCCCTCGAACCCGGAGTCTAAAGTCACTTCGCAACGGCGCCTTCCCCAAATTGCAGCAGGAAGCCTAAATGAGAAACCCTTGATGAGCCTTCCTTAAGAGACAGTGAGGTCGCATGAATACTTGTTGATCTCTCTTTCTGGGCCTTGATTCTTGATATTCGGATCCCAGTTCGGGGTCTACAGTAACTCCCGTTTCTCTATAGGGCCCCTACGAAAGCCCTCATAAAGCCCCATGCCGCAACTGGCATCACTTTGAGCTGAGCCCCCCTGCGTGCCACGCTTGTAGACCCTCACATGACCGTCGTCGCTGCCCGCGCACACAAGGCCTGTCAGCACCGTAGGTCCATGCCGCAAAACCCACTTAGCCATAGTTCAGTCATGGGTTCTCGCTGCATTCTTAGAGGCTGCATTGCTGAAGTCTTGTGGCGCCTTTGACTAGAGAACAAACCTTAGATTGCGTGCGGCTGCTTCTTGTCTTGGCGGGTATAGTCTATAAGCACCTCAGGCCTCCAGGCCCATACTCTGGACATCTATTTCTAGTTCCCCCCTGAGTTTCTACTGATGACAAATATAATGACAAGCATGTGAACATAATTCCAAGGGAAACCCTTTGATGCTCCAGTATTGGGGCAGTCTAGAAGCCCTGGGCTCCTGGCGTTCTGAGATACATTGTAGCATGATTACACAGAGTCATCGTGGCTATGACTGACGGTATATTCCTACGAAGTTTGCCCGAGCTCGGTAGCTTGTATGGCATTCTAGCGTTTCGACTCGCAGACTCGCAGACTCGCACAGGACAGCCACAAGATCGTCGCAGGATCTAGGGTTTAGGCTTGGAGGGTCTCTCCAGGTCTCGGGCCTTGGGTCCTAAGGAACCCTAAACCCCAAACCGAGCTTCATGGGCTCCGAGACTTCGAGCCTCTCGCAAGAGAAGCGAGTTTCGGGCCATGTTCTCAGACTCGGACTTTGAGGGTTCGCGTGGCCTGAATCTGATTTAGCCCACGCCTTGCAACCCATGCGTCTCCAACATTTCCCACGAGGCGTACCTAGTACTCACAACAAGCAAAATCAAAGGAGATCACGTCAACCACTGGGCCCAATATAATACAATGATTTGACTGGCGACGCTGATACTGATACCTTTGCCGGGTCCATGCAACCACCAGCATGCTCACGGTCATCGTCGGAAACTATGACCACCCGACGGATACTAGTCATGGCATCGTGGCACTCAAACTGTCTCCACCTAGACCACACTGGCCTCTAGCGACATCGCAGCAGTTGATGTTGGACGGAGACACCTCCAGATTGGCCTTCCGCGTCGTGCTGACCGGGTCCAGAATCTGAAGCCGTGCGTTCTTGTGCCTTCATGGGATCTTGGTGGATTCGCAACTAAGCTTCCCTTCAAGGTACATACTTTCCAAGGAAAAAGTCCGCTTCACGGGACCACCCCCAACAACTGGCAGCCTACAGCCGTTGTGGAAGCCTTGAGCCCCTGCGGGCTGGCAGCCCGCAGCCTTTGTGGAAGCCTTGAGGCCTTGCGGGCTGGCAGCCCGCGGCCTTTGT